TTGAAATTTTTAGACTGGTGGCCATGTAAAAAGTGGACCAGTACAGGTAAAACAGGAAGTAAAGACACACTTGAGAAGCTATGAAAGAGGAACTGGAGAGATGGTCCAGTGGTTAAGAGCATGTACTGCACTTACAGAGGACCAGCACTCACGTCAGGCAGACAATTTACAGAAACCTGCAACTCCAGCTCCAGGGGATCTGACTCCCTGACTCCCTCTTCTGGACTCACACACACACACACTGTACCCCCTCCCCCCATGACACACACACACACACACACAAAGCGAGCGAGAGCACACGCGTGAGAGACAGACAGACAGACAGAGACAGACAGACAAAGAGTCAAAGGCAGCATCCAGGAACTATAATTATATTTGAATGTGAGGTACTTGGAAAACACCCTTCAGAAATACCCAGTAGGCAATCACTAAGTATTAAGCTCAGTAGAAGGCCTGGCCACAATTCAAGAGGTTAAAAAAAAAAGATTTATCTCATGTCTGCAATCCCAACACTTGGGAGGCTAAGGTAGGAAGATTGCCATGAATTATAGACTAGCCTGAACTAGAGTGAGACTGTATCACAAAAGGAAAAAAGATTATCCCACAAACAAGGACAAGTAATTGAAATTTTTCTTTATACTAAAACTACATGAGGATGTTTTAGTTTTATAAATGAGTAACTTATTAATTTCCACTTATATTGCCTAAATTACTGAAGTCTGAAATAGTACATACAGAAGATCAAATCAAACTAAGCAAAAACATCACAGTATTTTAAACAAGTTCGATTTTTAAATTATTCACTATGAGAAGTTCAAGCATTTTTGTTTAGAGATTCTACTTATTTACCTAACAGGCAGGCTGAGGATACACGCAGCTCAGTGATTAAGTGCTTGCCTTTGATCTGTGAGACTGCAGATTCAATCCTCAACACCTCCAAAATACACACCACACACACACAAACACACACACACACACACACACACACACACATGAGAGAGAGAGAGAGAGAGAGAGAGAACGAGAGAACGCAGGTTCAATCCTCAACACCACCAAAACATACACACAGGTAAACACACACAGATACTAACCTAACAGGTTCATAAGGCTGATCACATATGAAGAACCCTCTTCGCTGAAGTTGGATAATGTCTCCTTTTTTCAAATCCTTAAGGCAGGGATCCCCCAACATTAGTTCTTCATGCTAGAAAAATGACACAGAACCAAACCCACTTTTCAAAGTAGAGCATTAAAGTAACTATAAAATGCAAGCAATATTTCCAATAGCTAGAATATTCTCATTTCAAACATATGTTTAAAAAAGTCTAATACAGGGCTGGAGAGATGGCTCAGCAGTTAAGAGCCCTCGTTGCTCTCACAGAGGACCTGGGTTTAATTCCCAGCACCTACATGGTGGCTAACAACCATCCACTACACCAGTTCCAGGAGAATCCAATGTCCTCTTCTGACCACCATGGGTATTGCATGACACAGGTACTTGCATACATGCAGGCAATACATTCATACACATGTTTTTAAAAAAGCCCAATACAGGGCTGGAGAGATGGCTCAGGAGTTAGGAGTCCTGGCTGCTCTCGCAGAGGACCTGGGTTCAATTCCCAGCACCCACATAGTGACTAACAACGGTCCATAACTCCGGTTCCAGGGGATCTAATGCCTTCTTCTGAACACTGCGGGAACTGTACAACATTAGGTTCACCTACATACATGCAGGCAATACACTCATACAATTTTCAAAAATTTTAATACGTAAGGGCTAGGAAGGTGGCTCAATTTGGTAAAGCCTTTGCCTTGTAAACATGAGGACCTGAGTTAGATCCCCATAACCCATGTAAAAGTGCTGGTGTGGGGTGTGCACTTGTAACCCCAGTTCTAGGGAGGGGAGACAGGAGGCTGCATGCGCACAATTGGTATTCAGGTTGGTTGGTTTTTTGTGTTTTGAGATAATTGTCTCACTATGAAGCAAAGGATATCCTAGTCTTGGCAATCTTCCTGCCTCAGCATCTAAAGTGTTGTGATTACAGGCATGCACCACTACACACAAATTTATCACATTTTTTTGAAGTTAACATTTATGACCTGAATATCTTCAGAACACCTTGTCCGTAACCTGACTGGCAATCCTGTGGAAAGAATTCCCAACTGTGAAACGCAACTGGAAGGCACAGTAGCACTCGAGGGCTCCCTAACAGGCCCCATGGGTTTGAGTCCAGTTCTATTATTCACTATATCTTCAAGCAAGTTACTTCCCTGTGTTTTACCTTCTGTTTGTTTCAGTGGCGAAGGCTGAACCCAGAGCCTTGTGCATGCTACACAAATGCTCTATCACTGAGCTACAAATTTAGTCCTTGATTTTTAGAGACAATTTTATTACATAGCCTAAAAGCTGGCCTTTAATTCACAATCTTCCTGCCTCTGCCACTGAAGTGCTGGAATTACAGGCATGAGACACCAGGCTCAGCTACATCTTTAAATTCTATAGGTGCTTTTCATTTTTACTTAAGAAACTAAAATACTTAAAATTAACTTTTAAAATGTTAAGGAATGCTCATGTAAGAAGAAATGCCTGGTTTCTTTCTGAAGGCTACCTTGCTGTCCCTGTTCACATACTGCTTGAAGTCCTCATCCTTCCCCAGCACTGGCTTCGTGATCAAGTGCTCATAAGTGACACAGACTGCTGGAACAGGGGGCGTATGTGAAGTCTCAGCAAGCCAAGTGATCTTGGTGGTTTTCTTGTAGTCTTTGTTTTCCAAGTTCAATTTTGCATCTAGAGACAGAATTTTTCCATCTGCATTTCTAGACAGAAGACAGAAGTGTTCAAAGGAAATAAAGCCTGTTAGAAATGCTTTAGTATTTTGCAATAAGTGGATAAAGAATTTTCTTTGCAGAAATTTCAAATCAAACATATACTTTCTAATATATGGCTGATAAACATGATATATGAGTGAAATAAACTGTCAAAATATTAATGATTCCGTGGACAACAGATCCATACATCTAATGAAAAAAACACATTTATGGATTTAAACTCACCTGCACTAAGCACTGTAAAACCTGAAACACTACATGTGCAGTTACTGGCAATCCTGTCATGACCACACAATTAAGATTTCAGAATTTACATAAATCTTAAACATATTCATTTATATAATCTGAAAGCCTGAAACTCAAATTCAGGATTAATACTGGCCACTCAACTTTTAGGATAAAGATAAAGTTACCCATATAAATCCTGGTCAAAGGATCCCACAGCAACTATTTAGATGGTAAAAAAGGACGACCCTTCTGAAGCATGAAAACTATTTTTTACATCTCCACTGGAATGTGTATTGTTTTAAAATTTATTATTTCTATTGTATGTGTATGAGTGTTATGCCTGCATGTAGGTAAGTGCACCCATGTCGTGCAATGCCTGCAGAGGTCAGAAGAGGCTGTCAGATCCCCTGGGACTGGAGTTACAGACAGTTGTTAGCTGCCATGTGGGTGCTGGGATTCCAACCCGGGTCTTCTGCAAGAACAACCAGTGTTCTTAACCTCTGAGCCATCTCTCAAATGTGTATTTTAAAAGACATTCCAGGGCCAACATCTCAGTAACAAAAACAATGAGTCTTTCTGCAAGGAACCATATATTCTAAAATGAAATGGAGATCTTTTTTAAAGGTTAAAAACTCATCCAATTTTATGTCTTACAGGGCTTATACTGAGTTCAATAATATATCATTGTAT